CTACATCGTGTGACCAGAGTTCTCTGAGCTGGGGATACCACCAAATGTATTACGAGGCAGATGACAAGTTCGAGGGCCCCATGTCAGCTCACAAAACCCAGAAAGCACACAAAGCCCACCTTTATTTTGCCTTTTCCTCCAAACATAGCCAGTAGCAACCTGTACTCTTCCTGTTGCAAAGAGCCTGGGGTATGTGGTACAAGGACTTGGCCAGCAGGGAACCAGCAGCACGAGGTCAGGACACAATGCAGTCCTCACTTTCCCTCGAGGTCTTCTGAGGACATCCAGGCAAAAGTCCTGGCTGAGGTGAGGCGGGTCCCTCACCACCCACCCCGCCCTCAAGTTGCTCCCGCCAGGGTCTAGGTGGGTCTCACCACATGAATGTCTGGTTATCTTGCTTGGTTAGACTATCACTTTCTGTCATGGCCAGAGATTCTTATTTGTATTTCCCAGAGCAGGAGTCTGTTCTTTAAAAATAAAATGTGAAAATGGAGAGAAAGAAATGACATTCAAGGCACAGTACAGCGGGATGCAGGATGCTCTCAAGGACATGATGAAATCAACCAGCTACAGAGGAACAGATCCCCCAGGCTTTCATTTCTAGGAGGTCCCCAGAGTCCTCAGTCTCCCACAGAGACAGGAAACGGGATGGGGGGCGCCTGGGGCTGGGGAGGGAGATGGAAATCCACATTTAAGCAAGACAAAGTTTGATTTTTGAGAATGAGGAAGTCCTGGAGGTGGCCTGGTGTCCAACAGTGTGAATGTACTTACACACCCCCGAACTGTGCACTTAAACATGGTTAAAATGATAGATTCTGTTAGGTATATTTTACCACCATTGAAAACTAAAAGTAAAGTTTGAAATAATGAGTTGGATTAAAGAAAAGCAGGAAGTAGTCTCAGCACAGGAGGTTCTCAGATCCAGAGCCCCGAGACTGCATCTGGGAAATGTCGGGTTGTTCCCTCCCAGTGTGTGGGGCAGAGCAGCCTCAGGAGCCAGGCCTCTCGAGTTCTAATCCCAGAACCCTTACTGCTGTGTGACCCGCAGCCCAGATCCTCACTCCTCTGCACCTCAGTTTTCTCATCTATAACACGGGAGTGCCAGTCGCCTATACTTCCTAGAACTGCTGTGCGGACTCGTTCTGCGGACATTTCTAAGGAGCTTGGAACAGAGCCTCTTACACAATCTGCTCTATAAGTGTTTGTTAAATAAACAGATGTCCTCACAAGGAAGCGCAGATGGGCAGCCGGCCTCATCTGCTACCCGGGTTCCTCCACAGACTGAGCCCACAGAGGCCATGCCCCAGTCCCTGCAGGTGCCTGGCTGAGATCTCTCCAGTCCTTTCCAGCACACCCTTGGAGCAGCCCAATGTCCCCCAAGGAACAAGTGCCTAAACAGACCATGGCACCACCATGCCATGCCTGTCACAGCCATGGGAAGAAGCGAGCCCTAAAACACACAAGTGAGTGAGGAGCCAGGCGCAAAAGACCATGTCCTGCACGGCTCCACTTATACCAAAGGTCCAGAAAGGATGGAGTGGCAGGAAGAAAGAGCAGATTAGGGGCCTGGGACAGTGGTGAGTCACTGCTCTTGAGTGGCTGCATCCCACAGAGCGAAGGGCTCTGGAACAGACAGAAGTGACTGCTGCACACACTAAGGATGCGTTAATGAGCCGCACGCTTTAAAATGGCTAATGTCACATTATGTGGCTCTCACGTCATAGTTTTTAATTCAAAAAAAGAAAACGACTCGCCCAGGCCTATCATTTACCCACCACGATCGACGGCCACTTTCATCCCTGCCCAGGTGCCCTCTTCTCCACCTTTGTGCCTCCAGTCACTTTGCCCAAATCCCCTAAAGCCCCCTACAACCTGAAAATGCCACCCGCTCTCCAGTCTCCAGGTCATCTGCCCCCCCTCGGGGGGTCTCTATCAGCAGACTGATAGAGGAAACAGTCCTGCAAGGGCACCAAGTCCTACTCTGGAAGTTGATTCTCATTATAGCTTCACAGAGACTACTGCCCAGGCCCATTTCACAGATGCACACGTGGAGGTGCTGAGAGGTAAGCCGCCCCACTTAGGAGTTGTGCTTGTCTGTTCCACTGCTGAGGCCCTAGTCTTACTTCCTTGAGATACAGTGCTGTGCCTCAGTCCCCCTCAGCCAGGGAAGGAAAGGACCCCTACACACCCCCCACAGGTGATCAAAGAGCCAAGCTAAACTGGAAACAAACTCCCAGAGACCAGGAGAAATCAGTATGTAAATGACCTATGCCCCTGAGCGTGTTCTGAAGACAAGTGACAGTGGGGGCAGGGTACATGTAGCAGCTGGGTGTCTCCTGGCTTATCTGAGGGTCCAGCAAAGGTCATGGCCAAAGATGGGGGCACCCTGGGAAGCACACAAAAGGCTGTGGCTACAGGCGTGTCACTATGAGCCACAGTGCTAGTCACAGCTGGCCCCTATCGGTGCTCCTGCTATCAAGCAGGGGAGGCCTGGGTGCCCTGCTGGGGGCTCCAGGCGTCAAGTGCAAGCTCAGCATCACCACAGCCCCCAGAGTCTAAGACTAAAAATCTGGGGAACCCAGGACCTGGCCCAGCTGGGTGTAGGGCTCACCCCACAAGGCCTATTTTAAACCTGGGGCTGAGTGCCGGCCCCAGCCTCACCAGAAACTGTGTTCTCTCCCTCGCTTGCTGCCTTGCCGAAAAGGGAAAGCATTCCCATAATTACAAGCATTGTGCAGCTTGATTACTGTACTCTGTAATGATGGCCGTGTGTTACAATGACACGCAGGCCATCTCCCTGCACAGGCCACTTGTCCTGCTCCACCGCTGACGTAAATATCTTTCCAGCATGCGCAGGGAGCTCAAGACCATTGGGGCAGCGGGGGGCTCCTCAGCAAACACACAGGGGCCTCTGGATGTTCCTCTTCTCGGCCATTCTCCTGATTCCAGCCACTTGGGCAGCCCAGCCTTCCCTAGCCTGGCGTCCTCCCCATGTGATCACATTTACCAAAATAGCAGCAGAGGTCAACCTTTTAAAAAATGAGCTGCTTCAGGTATTCACTAAAATATTGAAGGTCTGGATCTGTGACCAGTGTTTTTGCATATGTTGGACACAGCTGAAGGATTTTATTCCAGTATAACTTAATGAGACCAAGAAAATGAAAAGCAGAGAAAGAGGCTTCAATCTGAATGAATCAACATCAATTAATGGCTGCTTAACATATTTCTGCTAATAATAATGCATTCAATAATGTGCATTTTAAGGCTGGCTCAATATGTAATGGCCCATCTCTGCCCCCAAAAGGTACACAATAATGGTTTAAAAATAGTCCCAGTATGTATTTACATTTTTTTCCCCCTGAGCCTTTTTGGTTTATAGTTCATCATTCCAAGGGTAAGAATTCTAAAATTTTCTCTCTGTGTATTTACACAACTGAGTTATTGCTGTGTATCACATTAGCTATCAGATCCTTCCAAGAAAAATGAGTTTTTATCTTGACCCCAGCCCAGCCAATGTTAGATTTTAAAGTCCTACAGAGTGAGTGTGGCCCCTGGAGGGACCTGGGCGGCCCTGGTCACACACAGCATCCTGTGCCCTCCAGGGGCAGATGTGGGCTCATAGCAGGAGTTCTCTGAAGCTCCCAGGCACAGTGAGTCAGGAATGCCATCAGGTATCTGTCCCAACTTCTGAGTCCAGACTCACTCACCAGGGAAGAAGGCAGCCCACTGCTCTTGCAGAACCTCCTCTCCGGGTGTATTGCTTGGGTGGAGCCAACAGGGGGATATTTCTTTGTGATTCTGCTGCTAGAATGTCATAGGCTCAGTGCGCAAAGGTCCCAGTGCTGCCTGAGGAACAGGGAGGACTGTGCATCCTCCATACCTGTCCCCACCAGGGCCCAGCAGAAGCCCTGAACATGGGTGTTAAGTCGGTGGGCAACCCCAAGGTCCCTGGCATCAGCCCCAGCTCCTCTCTGAGGGCATAGCAATTGCATGGTGACCTCCGCAAAGGTCAGGCTGGCTGCCCTATCCATTCCGGCTCCTAAGACCAGGGAGCAGCGTAACGTTTTGTTTAAGTGATCCTCCTTAGGATTTACGGTATTTATTTGGAGATGTCAGGAGTGTGAGGTTTGTAGATACCCAGGCGGCGCCTCCAGCACTCTCGCTCGCTTTCAGGAGCCTGCATCCTCCTGTCTTCTTGGCTTGCTGCCCTAAACGCTGCAGCAGCACGTGGCCTGGGAGTGGACCGGAGGCCAGGCCCAGGGTGCCTGCCAGAGTCCCCCATGCCAAGTTACTCAGCCTCTGTTAATTAGAATCCTCAAACGGAGAGATTTTTCTTCCGCTTTGGGGCAGTTCTTTCTTCCTGTATCCAGACTCCTAAATTTTGCTGGGCTGGGGGCTGGACCACGTGCCAAGGATCCCTAGATACCATTCAGGCCCCCACTGACCTTTGGCCACCAACTCTCTTTCCCCTTCCTGGGTTTCAGCCTCTTCTTATGGCAAATTAGTAGGGTCTTGCCGCCCACGGAAGGGGGTCCGGAACGCGGGTCCTCTGCTGAGCCTCTCCCTGCCAAGCTATCAGGGCTAGCTTGGGGGCCTCCTTAGTGGGCGCCCCTTCCCTGGGGCCTGGCGGCAGGCACGCCCCACACCACCGCTCGGGGCCCCAAGGCCTGTCCGGACTGATAAAAGTGTCAGGGAGGATTGCCCCCGCGTAGCGGGAGGCTGGGGGCGGGCGGGACCCGCGGGCGACGAGCTGAGGCTGCTGTCGCCAGAGTCCCGCCGCTTGCTAGGCGTCCGGTGGCTACCCCGCAGTCGCGCTACGCGCTGGGCGGGGCGGGGCGAGGGCGGCGCCCGCAGGTAACCCCTGGGGGGCGGAGAGGCCGGCTCGGGACCCCCGGACCAAAAAGCGGAGGGGGAGGAGCAGCGCGGCGGTGGCGAAGGGCGGCCAAGTTTGGCTCCGCCGCGCGGCTTCGCATCCTGTCTCTGGGGAGAAGTGGGGGAACTGGTCCCTCGGAGCTGGGCTCGGACTTGAGCCCTCAGCCTCTGCAGACTTCCAGGTGTGACTTCGCCGTCCTCTGCCCTGGACCCCGTGCGTCCGGGGGGCACCGGAGGCGGGGAGCGACGCGCAATGCTGGAGGCCGACGTTGGGCCGGAGGGGCTGTGCCCCAAGGAAGCCCCCGCAGCCCGTGAGTATCCTGAGCGGCGCGCGGGGGGCGGGGGTAAGGGGGCAGGACCCAGAGGCGCTACCTGGGCGTTCTCAGACGCCGCCGGACGGCGGCTTTCCTGGGATTAAGGGGCTGACGAGGAGAGGGGTCAGGCCCACCCCACCCCCATCTTCCTGGACAAGGACCATCCCGGCTGCTCCCCAGTGAAGACCAGAGAGGAGGGACTTCGTGGGTCGCAGGTCGCTGAGGCTCCGACAGACGGACAGAAGGCAGACAGAGCGAGCGATCCAGCTGGACTGGGGTTGGGGCTGGGGCTGGGTACTGTGCGGGGAGGGCCCCGCGCCAGGGGGCGGCATCGGCCAGGCTGGCGGGTTGTTTCCAATCCCGGGGGAGCGTCCGCAGTCGGGTTGCATCCACGGCTCAGGCGGATGCTAGGTTTTTCGGATGTTTTTACAGGCGCTATTAATACACATAATATTTCCGTGCTATTCCGAAGATTTATTTGCGATATAAAGTAACTACTGGGACTCAAAGGCATAATGGGAACGGTCTTGGAGCTTGCACAGGCAGAGACAGATGAGGCTTGGCCCGGGAGGGGGAGTCCCCGACTTCCTCCACCAGCCCTGCACATAAATCACGACCCTGGATATTTTTATACCAATAATTTTAAAATAAATGACCCAAGCAATGTTTGCTGGATGGTCTTTCCCTTCCCCATTCAGAGGTTCTTAAATAAACCGCAGAATGGGGTATGGCCGGGGGCTCCCTCGTGCAGGGGATTTTCTTTAGTGACACCGTGGAGCGTGTCCCACTGAGCTGGGGTGAGGTGTCTGTGCCCTGCAATCAGTGCCACCGCAGCCCGAGCTGCTAACTTTAGCACGGGAAGTCCTCCTTTTCTTCTTTCTCCGCCTCCCCCTGGGTTTTTTGGACTCCTATGGAGAAACTTGTTGTGACGTGTACTTCTTAAACAACCCAATTGGGCTTCTTTCCTGAAGTGGCACTGTATACTCCCCCAATTAAAGGAGAGAGAGAGAGAGAGAGAGAGAGAGAGAGAGAGAGAGAGAGAGAGAGAGAGAATGAGCCCGCCTTTCAGAGAGGGAAGGGAGACCTAGGGGTGGTCAGGATGCTCTGCTTCCTGTGCAGGGTTCTCAAGCTCAAGGTAGAAAAAGTTCCATTGAGGGGGCTGGGGAGATGGCTCAGTGGAATAAGCGCTTCCCTGGCAGGCACAAGGGTCTGAGTTCAATCCCTGGTTCTGCCAAAAAAAAAAAAAAAAAAAAAAAAAAAAAGAAAAGAAAAGAAAAAGAAAAAGAAAATGTCCCATTGGCTCTGCAACTAGCTGGACGCAGGAGCCCCATGCTCATCTTGTGTGGCTCCATCCGGGCACTACAGGGCTTTACACACTTGTGCTCGAGGCAGAGTGCATAGCCATGCCCGTTACACAGAGAAACTGAGGCCACACAGAGTAATATTGGCACCAAGAATAGAGCCAGGGTGCCTGCATCCAGCCCCTGTGAGGTTCTCAGTACTCTCATTCCACCCATGCAGAATGCCCCAGTGATAAGGCTGCAACATCCCAGGGAGCTGTTTTCTGTGCCCAATCATATGGGCTCCGGTTTTTGCAGTTGTCCTCAGATTGGGGCCCAGGCTGAGTCTCGGAAGTGGGGATCCAGAGCCTTCCTCAATGGAGGACCTAATTAGACAGATCTGAATCCGCTGAGCCCCAGCCTTCCCTCTTGCAGGAGCAGGCCCTTGTGCTTCTCCCGCTGCATCTTGGCTGGGCAGTGGGCTGGCCGGTGGGAAGGGCTCTTGCCCTCTTTCCCTGCTCTGGGCCTCACCAGTGTCAGGAGTAGGGTGCTAGGCACTATCCGCCTGCAGCGGACCCTGCGGGGGGCAGGACATCAGCTTGAGGTTCTCTTGGTGTGGTGAAAGCCAGAGGCTGTCGTTGATATTTGCAGGTTCCCAGGAGGAAAGCCACAGACTTGCAGGACAGAGGCCTGGGAGGAGAAGGTCACTTTGTCCCGTTTTAGGCATCAAGGCACTGAGGGTGGAAGCAGTTTCAGTGTAGTACAGTGATAGTCCCAGCTTTGCTGCTCAGAGCTGTGTGCTCTTGACCCACTTGCTTACCCACTCTGTGCATTACCTATAAAGCCCTGAGGTCATTTGTTATAAAGATAACTTGACTCTGTAGCTTTTCTGTCTCCATCCCCTGCAGTGTGTTGGAGCCCAGAGGTGCAAGATGCGATGGTTTGTTGCACGCCACCTCCCAGGCTGCCTTCTTCAGCGTCTCCCTTGTAATTTATTAATCAGCTGCTTATCCATAAAGTCATTGTGTGCACTTCCCACCAGGACGGTGGGGTAGGGCAGTGTCATCATCACTCTCCACCAGGCCTGTCTGCCTAGCTCTTTTCTCATCCCATGAAGTATCCTGGCCTCCCCCCTTCTCTGGAACTACTGAGGGCCCCCAGTCACAGAGGGAGGAGGAGGGAAGGGACACAAAGTCAGCTGAGCAGGGTGCTGTGTACAACCAGCGAGACCTGGTCTGCATCTGCCTTGTCACCCTCCTCCACCCACGCAAGAGGAAACTGAGGCACAGATCCTGTAGTCAAGGTCACACTGCTGTTAAATGGCCTGGGTAGGATTTGAACTCCAGGCAAGATGCTATGCAGTTGTCCCTGTGCTGCTGTTGACCCACTCTGGGCAATGGCAAGAGCTGTCCTTCGTGAACCTCATCCATCCTCATTAGGAGCAACCAAGCACCCACAGTGGCCTGATGCTGTGTTCTTGGTCCTAGGCACACAGTGAGGGTGAGGGACAGAGTAGACCAAGCTCTCGGGACTGTCTATAAAACATTTAGTGTGTTGTCTGGTGATACAAGGAAAGTAGAGCAGGAGAGAAGGAGGCTGCAGGTGGCTGTCATTGTGCAGAGGTAGAGGTCAGACCCCAGCAGGAGCAGGGACAAGCAGACCAGGCAGAGGGAACAAAGAGTGCAATCAGGTGACAACCGGAGTTCCAGGAACAGGCAGTGGGTTCAAGGACCAGCCAGGACATGGGTAGGACAACAGGGGGCAGAAGGGGGGCAGGAGGGGACACTGTGTGAGGGGTCTCTGGCCGCTGCAAGGACAGGGCCACAAAGGCCTGGAGCCGGCAAGGGACCTGGCTGTCAGGTTTGGATGGAGTCTGTGGTTGCCCTACAGAGAACAGCCTCCCTCCCTACTCCAGATGGGCCATCTTGGGGCCCCAGGGGAGGCGGCACTGCAGGTCCCATGCTGGAATTGCCCAGAAGTGGGGTCTAAGAGTAAGAGAGGATGGATGGACAGCCCCGAGTGCTGGGGACTGAGCAGATGAAGGTGGGAAGGTCCCTGAGGAGAGGTAGGGTGGGGGCGGAGGATGGTTTTTGGTTTTTTAGTTTTTAAAATCGTGGTCAAGCATGCGGTACAACATTTGCATCATTTTAGTGTTCTTGTCACTGGCATTAGTGACTCTTCCAGCGTTGCACAACCACCACCACCTCTACCTATTTCCAGAACGTTTTCCTCATCCCACGTAGAAATCCTGAGCCACTCAGCTGTGGCTCGCCTCTTCCCTGCCCCCCCCCGCCCCTCCCCAGGGAGCCCAGCCGCTTCTCTCTGCTGCAACTTGTGTCCTCTAGTGCTCTCATGGCAGTGGTATCCTCCGTGCCTGTCCTCTGTGGCTGGTACATTTCACTTCACATGTCTCGCAGCCTGCTCCACACTGCGGTGGCTACCCACCCTGCACTGGTGTTACGGCTGCATCATCTTCTCTTGCCTCACTGATGTCTCTAGAACTAGCCTGGCAGGGCTCAATGACAGTCAGACGGGGACAGACAGCTGGACGGTCAGACAGACGATAGCCGACTCTCCCTGCCAGTTCTCTTCTGTCGCAGGCGCTGCTGAGTTGCAGACCCTTGCTTACATCACTTCCTTTAGTATTCACTTGCTGCATTCGTGATGTTTGCAGCCCCTTTTAACAACTGAGGCACAGAGAGAGCAAGGCATGTGCCCAAGCTTACACAGCCCAGAGAGCTCTGGGAATCCTTCCAGGAGGACCTGCCTGCCCTGGCCCACGAGGACTCCTGGCTCTGCGCCAGGCACTGCAGCTCAGTGCTGCCCCCTAGCTCTCCAGGGTGAAGGTGGCTCACTGTGCTTGCTTGGCTGCTACTGGGGGCACAGGCGAGACCCCGTGGGTTGTGTGAGCTACCTCTGTCCCACGCCCGCCTCTGCCTGGCGCTGCTCGCCGCTCAGCCTCGGCCACAGCCCGCTGCCCTCAGCACCCGGCACACGTGGCAGGATGCTCACACTGTGTACTGAAGCACTCAAAGCCTTCCGAGTCCCCAGAGAGCCCTCTGACAATGGTCATGCGGTCATTAGGCAGACAAATTACTAGTTTCATCTATTTGGCCCTTGGAGGGGACCTGCGTGTATAGTAGCTGCCTAGCTTGGTAATTTCAGCTTCCTTTTTTTTTTCATTGCAGCCCATGGGGACAATTGCTCCCTCTGAGCCTTTCACAGTGATCTGGCTGGCTGGGCTGCAGTTCCCACACATAGCACAGCCCACGAGGCCCCAGCAAGTTTGGGGCCCCAATCCCTGGTGCTGGCGGCCACGTCCTGAGACCACTTCCTATCTATCTCCACCACACCCGTTGGCCTCTGGGTGTGGTAAGCAAACATTCCCCCGACACCCAAGGTTTAATCCTCTCTCTTTCACACCCTGCTGGAATCACTTCTGCCCACATATGGCCTCTGGTGTGTAATGATTTTGTTAATGCGTTTGCGTGGCACTTCAAGTTGAAAGTCTGAATGTGCAGCTTGTCGTGGAAACTGAGCTATTGATGTGCGCTATTAAAAGGGAAGTGTAATCAGGGATCGTTTTTATTGTGCTGTGTTTCCTGGGCGGTGAGCAGCCTCAGATAGAGCAAATCAAGAGCTCAGGGTGAGCAGGAGCAGAAAAGGGGTCCAGCGAGTATGGGGGATCCAGTTACAACCTCGGTCAAGGTGGGCTCT